GAGAGCACCAGAGCTCACTCAAAGTTGCTTTTCTCTACCTATATCCAGACTCATAGCTCTAATCTGTATTTGATGACACCAAAATTTATGTCTCTAGTTTAGACCACTTCCTTAACTCTAGGCTACCAATCCAACTGCCCACTCAACATATATCTATCTATCTATCATCTATCTATCTATCTATCTATCTATCTATCTATCATCTATCTATCATCTATCCATCCATCTATCATCTTTCCATCCATCCATCCATCTATCTATCATCCAACCATCCATCAACTCTGGGACTTAACATTTTCATAACTGAGGCCCTGATGTTACCTCTCCCTCTCCACTCCCCCTTTCTTTCCCAGCTTTTTTATTCTCACCTACTGTCAACTCCATTCTTCCAGTTTGCAAGCCTTGGATTCACCCCTGACTACTCTCTTTCTTTCACACACCAGGGCCAATTCTGTGGGCTCTATCTTCAAAATGCACATCTGCTTTTTTTTTAATTTTATTTTATTATGTTATGTTAGTCACCATACAATACATCATTAGTTTTTGATGTAATGATCCACGATTCATTGTTTTCGTACAACACCCAGTGCTCCATGCAGTACGTGCCCTCTTTAATACCCATCACCGGGCTAACCCATCCCCCACCCCCCTCCCCTCTAAAACCCTCAGTGTGTTTCCCAGAGTCCATAGTCTCTCATAAAGGCATTTTCAATGACTTTAATATATACTTGAAAACCCTGCTACCGATGTTTTAAATGCCCATTTATTTTAATTGGAAAATTATGATGCATTGCATCCCAACCCAAGATACCTAAATAATTTTTACAGATCAAAAAATACAATGAAAAAATAAAAAATATATTTTTATAAAAAATTAGTTTAAAATGTTTATATATGCTTCTCCCTCTGCCTTTCTCTCTCTCTCTCTGTCTCTCATGAATAAATAAATAAAATCTTTAAAAAAAAAAAAAAAAAAAAAAAGGGCGCCTGGGTGGCTCAGATGGTTGAGCGTCTGCCTTCGGCTCAGGTCATGATCCCAGGGTCCTGGGATCGGGTCCCACATCGGGCTCCCTGCTCCTTGGGAGCCTGCTTCTCCCTCTGCCTTTCTCTCTCTCTCTCTGTCTCTCATGAATAAATAAATAAAATCTTTAAAAAAAAAAAAAAAAAAAAAAAAAAAAAAAAAAAAAAAAAAAAAAATAAAATGTTTATATAAGCAATAAAGAGTAATTCAAAAGTAAACAAATAAAGTTGTAGATGAAATGTAAAACAAGGATAGCACACTGAGCTCTCCGAAGGGGGAAGAAAAGTCAGTACTTGCGAATATTCTATTCTGATTCCGTGCTTCCAGCTAGATTGTGAGCTCCTGGGCTTTTGTCTGTTCTATGTCCTGCTGCAGCATCAGTGTCAATCAGGGGCATTCTCCACCCACAGCTCTGTGGCTGACCGCACTCATGAGATCACTGGCTGGATTTTCTAAGACTTGGATACCTACGTCTAGGGAAATCTGTGTCTTGCTTATAAAGTATGAGAGCAAATGTGTCTTTGCTCCACACCCCCCTCCATCCCATCCACATTTCCCAGCACACAGCACATATTCTTCCACTGAAGCTGCTTCTGTTTTCCCTGTTTTACCTTTTTTATGGTTTCTAGTGACTTTTGAGGAAAGGGATAGAAACAGAAATGCTCTTTTATCTACTGAATTTAGAGGCAGCCATACCTGTATTTTAAAAGTATGCACAGAAGGGATGAATACCCAACTTTTACATCAACATGGATGGGACTGGAGGAGATTATGCTAAGTGAAATAAGTCAAGCAGAGAAAGTCAATTATCATATAGCTTCACTTATTTGTGGACCATAAGGAATAGCATGGAGGACATTAGGAGAAGGAAGGGAAAAATGAAGGGGGGGAAATCGGAGGGAGAGATGAACCATGAGAGACTATGGACTCTGAGAAACAAACTGAGGGTTTTAGAGGGGAGGAGGGTGGGGGGATGTGCTAGCCCGGTGACAGGTATTAAGGAGGGCACATACTGCATGGAGCCCTGGGTCTTATACAATAGCAATGAATCGTGGATCACTACATCAAAAACTAATGATGTATGGTGACTAACATAACATAATAAAATAAAATTTAAAATAAATAAATTAATTAAATAAAAGTATGCATATGAATTTTAAGAAGTAGTGGATAAATTTTTGGATCTGTGGCTAATTACAGTATGATAATATAGTGGATTTTCAAACTTTCTTATGCATCAGAAACACTTGAAGTCTCATTAAAACAGACTTCTGGGCTTTCCACCAGGGTTTCTGATTCAGTAGGCCTGGGATGGGACCTGAGAACTTTAATTTCTGGCATATTCCCAGCTGATGCCAATGCTTCAGGTCTGGTGACTACACTTTAAAAAGCACTGTTATACTAAAATATTTTCACTTTAGCTATGTCTAAAGGACTAAAACTGGGGGAGACATTATAAAACATTATAAGAAAAAAAGACATTCGAAGAATTCATAAAATCTTTTGAGAATGAAAGCAGACCTGCCATAGCCAAAATGGACATGTACAATATTTCCAAGGGGCCAGTGCCATGGAGAGATTCCCAGGCCCTCCTGACTTCCTCAGGACATGGATCTAGTCCTGCCTCATGGTGAACTAGCCCTGTAACACACAACAAGTCATGCCTAAGGTCTTCGTGCCTGTAGAATGACGACCTTGGGCCATGTGGTCTCATTACAACTGGATGTATAGATGTGCATGTTCATGTGCTTGTTCAGACCCTCTCACTAAATGCAAGATTGATTTAAAGTATTTGTGCAATGAGATAGCCTACTAATGAACGTAAGACAAATGTGTAGGTAAACTTGAACTCTTCAGGGTGAAAGCTCAGGTTTTTTTTAAAAGATTTTATTAATTTATTTGTCAAAGAGAGAGCACACACACAAGCAGAAGGAGAGGGAGAAGCAGGCTCCCCGCCAAGCAAGGAGCCCGAAGCAGGACTCGATTCCAGGACCCCGGAATCATGACCTGAGCCAAAGGCAGACACTTAACGGACTAAACCACCCAAGTGTCCCTAAATGCCCAGATTTTAATGCTTCTCCCCACCCCACCCCCGCCCAGTTCTTCTGCTTCCCACCTCTCCATCTTCTGAATTCCAGAAGAAACTCTGTAAAAATATGAGAGCAAGAGAGAGGGGTGTCTGGGCTATGCATTATCCCTCTTTGCTGGCTCCCACTAACCTCTGGATTAAGGGAAGTTCACACTTCCTGGTTTGAGGTCGTTTTAAATTCTAGCGCCTGACCTCTGCCCTCAGTGCTTCTGCAAGGAAGGACCTGCTGCTCCTCTAGGGTGAGTGCCCCTGGGAGCTCAGCCACCTTCCCCTGATGCTGAGCTCTCTACCTCTGCTCTTGCTGACGAGGTAGACCTTCCGACACCACTGCCTCATCCAGCTGGCTGGGTTCCCTGGGCTTGTCCATCCTGCAGCCTGTTTACAGAGTACCTTCTTTGTCCCGCACAGAGTCACCTTGGAAAATGTAGATTCCTTCCATGTCACTTGCAGTCTTTGAGGAGAACTGAAAGTGCCCTTAACAATTCCCTGTCTGGCTTCTGCCAAACCCTACTGTTGCTCTACCCCGGTCACCTTTTCTCTATGGTGGACCCTCAAACATTCTCCTTCCAGAATTTCAGAAGCAAGCCCTCTCCCCTTTCAGCTTCTGCCTCAAACTATCAGTGATATATGTCCGGCATGGTCCCCAGCGTGAGCGGTGATCCAGAGAGCAAAGACTCCAGGTGGTTCTCAGCAAGGCAGACAGCATCTTCTTCCTGGCAGCCTGGCTCTCCCCCATCACATCAGCAGAGGCTTTCCTTTCCTGTTTGAAACAAACTTACATATTCCTCCTTGTCTTCTCTACACAACGGTTAAGGGCAAATAAAGCTCAGATACTCCAACATGTTGTTTTGTTTGTTTGTTTGTTTGTTTGTTTTTTAATAAGTGAATGGAAATTTGGGGAAATTTAAAGAAAAAAAAAACCCTCTACTCTCTCCATGAGAGGCTGACAGGACTACTATCTCTCTATGTACTTTAAAAAAAAATCTAGTATGAAACTCAAAATCGAGCAATGAATTCTTTGTTCTAGATGGTGGCCACAATCTCCCCAAATCAATGAATGGCATTGATTCATTACGCAGATGAAATTGCTAGGCAACATATTTTATGGGGAAGGAAAAATATCTTGTTTTAATATTTTTTGAAAATATTATCCCTCCTTACAGCATAGGAAAGTATACTTGAAAAGAGGGTACAGCAAAATCCCAGCGAGACAGCAACAGAAAGTTTTAACTGCGGCTAACACCAGTGGGGAGGCCACAGAAGATAAAGAAAACAGAATCAGGAGGAGGGGCACGTAATGGATGGAAACTCTGGAAAGTGGAATTCAGAATGGAATTTGTCCTTTTCTGGCCAACAAAACAAAACAGAAACCAGAAATCCCCCAAAAATGTCCTTCTCTACAGCATTGACAGAGCATATGACATTCTGTGGATGTGATGGGGTGGAGAAAGGTACTAGGGCATGAGAAGCATTTCCGCAAGGAACCTGGAGTGCTTGAACAATGAATGAGTCCACTCATAGAGAAGCAATAATTAAGAAACTTCTAAGATAATACAGAAGCTTAGAAATATGGAAACCTCTGGGGCCACATGACCCCCTCTCCTCTTGTTTGGCTATGCAGTTTATGAATGTCTGCACACATGCAATGGAAAAGAGACCTGGTTGGGGGGTGGAGGGGAGATTTCATCATCATATCTGGTCTATATATCTAACGTTAATTCTGTATTTTCTCAGCTGATGTTTAATCTTTTAAATTGAGAGCTTTCCAGAGCCTTTGGGGCATAGCAGACCTTCTCAGGAGAGCCAGCTGGGTGTTTCTTGGACCTCTGCAGCCATCAGCACAAATGTGAAAGTAGCACTATGCATTTGAAACTCAGAAATTTTTCTTACCCATCTTCGGACCCCTAGTCCCTAGTTCAGTGTTCATCAAATAGCAGGTACTCAGCAAATACCTGATGAAGAAATAACATCATTTGGAAATCTATATAAAAAATAGCCTATAATAACTCCTAGAATTAGAAATAAACTCCTAGAATTTGAACATCTGAAGAAATTTCAGGGTTCGTCTGAAGACATCCAGCCACCTCATTTTAAGGACAAGGAAACTGAGGCCTAGAGAAATTAGAAGACTTGTCCAAGATTTCCCAGGAAAGGAGTTGACAGAATCGGGACTGGAACCCCAGCCCTTGACTCTTATTTTCTTTCTCCTTCTTTTTCTTTCTTTTCTTTCTTTCTTTCCTTTCTTTCTTTTCTTTCTTTCTTTCTCTTTCTCTTTTTCTTTCTTTCTTTCTTTCTTTCTTTCTTTCTTTCTTTCTTTCTTTCTTTCTTTTTCTTTTCTTTCTTTCTTTCCTTTCTTTCTTTCTTTTTCTTTCTCTTTCTCCTCACCATCTTAAAATGTAGATTTCATTATTATTCAGGTATGGCCAGACCAACAGATATGGAGACAATTGTCCTTGTAAAGAGAATTTGTCATAGTAACAGATCCAAAAGGGAGGGGGCAGGCCATGGCATGGGGAGGTGGGGGGGTCACACGGGGAAACACCAGGGTGGGCTGGGAGGCAGAAGGAGGAAAACATGGCAGGGAGATTCTGGTGTGGTTTCCACAGGAAAGACAGGTGAGCAGAGCTGGCCGACTGAGGAGCGACTAGTTTGAACTACTTCAGCAGGCTCTGGAGCACAGGTACTGCCCCTAATTGTCTGATGCAAGGCCCTGGGAGATTAGGGCAGGGCAACTGTGGCCCAGAGAGAGAGCCAGACAGAGGAGGTGGTTCGGGGTCTGAGCTCTCGATGGATCAGTCCGTGTATGAGAGCACACACCCAGCTGAGCTGTTTACTATCTCTAGGAATTAGTTAACCCCGAGAGGGTTAGTCCCTCCAGGGTTAGCAAGGCTCCAGATGGCAAAGCATCAAAGTACGGAAATAAAAGGATGTGCCGAATGTACTCACCACACTGAGATCATAAGTCTTCGCTGCATTAAAAATTTAGCTTGGCCTTGGTAGGTTTGTCTGCCTTCTCTTGCACACTGTTCAATAAAATCATTAGAAAAGGGGGCTTCCACATGAAGTTAAGGATTCTGGATCCTCAGAGCTATGAAAAATGGCTTTTGGATCATAATCTAGACAATCTTTTCTGATTATTTATCTAAAACTAAAAGCAGGAAATGATTCATTTGATTCCTGCCAATCCTGGAGTGTTGCCACTTTCAGCTCAGGAAGAGCCGGCTTCCCTTGGCAGTCCTCACTTGCAGGATGATGAATGAAGTTCTATGTTTGGTGCTAGCTAAAATTTTATAGGGTCTAAAAAAGCAATTTATACATGCTTCAGGAGGTGGCTATATTTTTTCTTTTTTAGATAGCTCTTAGTCACAGCAGGGCACTCAATATACGTATATCACATCGAGGGGTCATTTCACAGGAGAAATGAAACTTCGCTCTGTCTGTTGATAAACATGTTCTTGGCTTCTGCAAGCCTTATGTAGGCTCAGAATCCAGCAAATAGGTATTAGCTGAATTCTGAATTTTCCCAGTTAATTTCACACCTCAAGAACCCATGACCCTCAATGTGATATTAGGGAAAAGAGAAATCATCAGCCTAACAAAACATTTTCTTGGTTCCAAGTATCTGTTGTTATTCACAAATAGGCGGGGCCAGTTCTCTCCTCTTGGGAATCTTGAGATGGGTTGAATGGTCTTGCACACTAGCCAGTCAGGCCACTAAGTTGTCAAGGGTCAAAGCTAACTCAAAGAACAGTGGCCATGGGCCAAACCACCCACTTAGTCTAAGTGATGAGCAATCTAAACACTCCCAACCCACCAAGCCTCATCCATACCACATTTTGCTGAGAGTTTTGGATTTATTTTTTTTCTGTCTCCTAAGTATGTATCTGGGGTGAAACATCTGAGTGCTGGTCATTCTTAATCAAGCTTCAGGATACTCTCAAGATTATCTTCCCAGTTTCCATCATGACAACGGTTTTATTAACCTTCTTCCCTTTTCATTTCTGAATGCATGTCCTTACAAAGCACCCTGAAGGAAATCTGGATAGGAGGGTTGAGGACCAGCACTGCTGTATATTGGCTGAGGGCCTCAGGCAAATTACTTTGCCTCCACCATCCTCATCTGTAACATAGGAACATAATATATATCCACTATTTCAAAAGATTATGTAATAATATGGGAAAGACTTATGATTAGTTTTAGTGAAAATATAATCTATAAAATATGTACTTAGAAAGACATTTGAGGGGTGCCTGGGTGGCTCAGTCAGTTGAGCATTGGACTCTTGATTTCAGCTCAGGTCATGATCTCAGGGTCTTGAGATTGAGCCCTATGTCAGGCTCTGTGCTCAGCGGGGAGCTGCTGGAGATTCTCTCTCTCCCTCTGACCCTCTCCCCTCTCCCCTGCTTGCGCATGTGCACATGCTCTCTCTCTCAAAAAAAAAAAAAAATCTTTAAAAAAAAAAAAAAGGAGCATTTGAATTTATGGAAGGGCTGCTGCAAGTTCATTAAACCCCTGTCCTTTTTTTTTTTCTGGGCTCTCAACCATACTACATTGCTCAGCCTCTCTTGGAGTTAGTTGTGATCTCATTACTAACTTATTGCTTAACATAATACTAATTTACAATCAAGTTTTAGGTAAAGAACTATAAGAGAAAGTGGTGTGGCTACTTCCAGGTCTTCTTATAAAAAATTCCCTTGAAGATCCTCTAACCCTTTCTCCCCAAGTCAACATTTTTGGAAGCCCCGGGCCAAAGATGGCAGAGCCACAAGATGGCAGGAGCCTGGACAGCTGCATTATCACTGGGAGGAGAGATACTCCCCAATCAGAAGCATCCATTTGAATGTCACATAAGGGAGAAATAAAGTTTTATTGTGTTAACCTATTGATGTTTGGAGGTTTCTCTATTACTGCACATAGCAAAATATTAACTAATATATACTAGTCTTTAAAGTGTATGTATAAGAAACTATAAAAATATAAAATCAGAAGGATATGTTATCAATGTGTTTGGGTGGTAAGATAGCAAGCACATTTTTATTTTCTTAATCCTCTCTTGATTCTGGATTTTTACAATCTCTAAGGAACATGTATTGATTTTATAATTTCAGAAATTACTTAAAGGGAAAAAATAACCTCCCTAATCTGTCCTTTGCCTGGGCAGGTACAGTCTCATTTCACACTGAATCAACAAATGCAATTTGTACATGTACTTGATGCCAAGCACTATGCTAACTGTTGAGATACTAAGATTAATAAAATATTATCACCATGAGCCTCAAAGAATCCACAGCATATCAAGGATTAGAGTATACAGTGATAAAGCCAGGTACTCTGGGAACACACAAAGGGACTGAACCCAAACCAATGCAATTTAGATAAGACTTTCTATACAGAGTGATGCCTGCATGAAACTGTGAACACAGTTTAAAGTGGAAAGAGGCATAAAAAGAGGCACAGCACCGACGAAGAGCGTGATGTGCGCCGCGTAGTTAGCTATAGCTCCAGCCTAAAATTCCAGCTAGAGTTTTAGACCCACAAGATTTATTTATTTTGTTTCTGCAGTGCTAAATATAATGCCCGGTATATAGTGAGTGTACAGTAAATATTTGTCAAATAAATAATTAAAAATGGACATTTCTACCAAGTGGTTATCCAGGCTCTTGCTTACACATCCCCTATAATAGTAAGCATCTTGTGAGGCATTCCACTCCATCTCCAGGCAGCTCTGGCCACGAAAAAGTGTTCCTTGTATTAAGCCAACCAAAACCCAGTTGTACTAGGAAGCATATTTATATGAGGGTGCAGGGTCAACAGAAGAGCGATGCTCTAAACAGGTGAGGAATAAAGGGATGGGATGTGGGAGAAAAAGGCAGAACAATGGGGCTACTTCCACTTTGTTCCATTTAAAAGGACTCCAACATGTTTTCACATGTAGGTCCGTAGTGTTGAACTTGGGTGTTCACGTCCACCACCACATGCCAGACACTCTACAAGCACTTTGTCTACTTGATCTCATTTATTCCTTTTCTTTTTTTAAATTTAAATTCAATTAGCCAACATATAGGACATCATTAGTTTTTATGTAGTGTTCAATGATTCATTAGTGGCATATAACACCCAGTGCTCATCAGATCACATGCCCTCCTTAATGCCCATCACCCAGTTACCCTTTTCACTGCTTACTAAGCTCTCTCAAGTGGAAATATCTCTGTTCTGTAGATAAGAAAATGAAGATAAAGATTGAAGTCATAGGTTAGTGATACAACCAGGATCTGAAGCTCTGTTTTCCTGCCCTGGTCCATGGGCTATAGACAGGCTTTCCCCCAAGAGCCATTTTGATTATTGCTCGATGGGACATTTTGGACAGATGTTGCTGCACTACAAAGACCGCCTGATCACGAGCTGACCTGAGCAAGCTGTGGGCTCTGTGGCTGGTGAAGTTTGTCTTCCTCTGGCTTGCTACTTAACAAGGCAGTTCGGTGCTTTAACTCAAGTGGGAATCACAGTGGAGTTCAGGCTCCACAGCAAGGCCAATAGGAAGATAATTTTGGAAAGGGGCATACTGACAGGGCTCTGGGTGCAAGGGGCTGATGACTGAGAGCCTGGAAGTGCTCTTACTGTAACAGCCATGAGGCAGGGCTTATTCCTGGTAAGGTCAGGAAGGCTTGCTTGATGCGGGCTCCTGAAACACCTCAAATTCATCTAAAAGCCTGAGAGTTCCAAGGACCAGAAGCAGGATTGACTGGTCAAGTGGCTTCAGCTGTGAGAGCAGGAGGTGAGTGGAGGCAGGGAGCAGGCTACCATGTACTCGTGAACCCCCAACCCCCCATAGCCCTAGTCCAAAAGCTTGACTTCCCCACTGTTCCTCCAGTGTACCCTTCCATTTGGCATAAAATCTCACCCCTTTTCACAGCCCAGCAGCACCCACTGCCTGGGAGAACATAGAGTTAAGAAACATGGGTTGCCAAGACATTCTGGAAGAAACAAAGCCCTGGTGTGTGCTTACGACACCTGGTTAGTACCTTTCACAACAAGAGTGAAAAGCACAGTGTGTCTGAGGATGCACAACCCAAAAACGTAAAAGGGGATCATAATCATGATAAACTCTCAAACTTGTGAAGTGTGCTTAAGTCCATAATAGCTTCCATATTCACTATTTGATTTGCTTTTTATCATGCCCATTATATAGACAAGTACACTGAAGCCAAGAAATTAAATGGTATGCATTTTTTATAAATATAATTTTATTTTTACAATATGTTAGGGCTTGAAGTGTCGAAGTTCAAAGCTCCCAGTATCCCAGGATGGGACTTTATGTAGAAATAGGGTCCCTACCCATGTGATTAGTTAAGATGAGGTCACACTGGAGTTGGGTGGGTACCTAATCCAATGTGACTGGTGTCCTTATAAAAAGACTGCTATGTGAAGAAACAGGGACATGCGAGAAAGCTGGCCATGTGGAGACAGAGGCAGAGATCGGAATGGTGATGCCACGGCCTGTGAATGCCTGTGGCCACCAGAGCTGAAAGAGGCAAGGTATGACCTTCCCCCAGAGACTTTTAGGGGAGGCCCGGCCCTGCAGATATCTTGATTTGAGACTCCTGACCTCCAGGACTGAGAGAGAATACACTGAGGAGTGGGTCCCAAGAGGAGGCATCGTCAATGTCATCAAATATCACATCTTTAGTGAGAGAAGATAAAAAACTGAAAATCTGACCTCTGGGTTGAGTGATTGAGAGTCTGACAATGACCTTTGCAAGGGGACTTTCAGTGGAGTAAGGAAAGAGCTTGCCTCGTTGCAGGCGAGTAGGGTGCATGAGACGTGAAGCAGTAGAGACACCCAGTGACTGCTGACTCCTTTCAAGAAAAGCCCACCTGTGGAAAGAGGGTGATCAAAAGAAAAAAGAGGAGAAGAGGTGGAAAGACATCGAAATAATAGGTAGAAGTTGAACACAGAGTCCAAGGATGAAGAGTCAGTGCCGAGGGATGGAGCGAGGTCCAGGAGAAGAGGTGTGGCTGGCACAGCACCCTCGTGGAGGATTTGTGAGAGGGTGGTTCCCAGAGGAGAGGTAGGGTCAGGACCAACTTTGTGCAG